AAGAAAATTATTTTTTAGTTGTAGATGAACACAATACCTTTATTTTATTCATTTATCATTATGTGGTGCTGAGGATCGAACCCAGAGCCTCACACTTGCTAGGCAAGCACTCTATCACTGAGCCACAACCGAGCTTCTGAAGGTAATTTTATAGGACATTTTTAGTGCACCCATGTTTTGACTACAGCCCATCTCATGAGATCAGGTATGGACTCTTCCCCTGGTGATGTCATGTTGTACTCAAAAGTTTCAGATTTTGGAGCCTTTCCAGTTTCTGATTTTGGGATCAGGGATGCTCAGCCTGCAGGTGTAGCAAGCATCCCAGAGGGTGATTAGCATTAGGCAAGTCTCAGACCAGCCCTACACCTCACTTGCTCTTCTCTACTGACTCCCAAACACACCTTGCTTGGATCTCGACCATCTGCACCTCTACTAAGAGGATGAGTCTCTCTCCCCTGCAAAGTCTTTCCTTCCCTTGCGTCCATTCCTCCTCAAATCCTGCTCTCCAAGCCTGGATGCCATTGGCCCTCCCAGCAGTCCTGACTCTTGCTCCTCCCAGAATGCTGAGCTGTTTCTCCATCAGGTCGGGTTTTCCCAGCTCAGCATGGGGCAGGGTTGCTCAACCAGGGCACTGTTGGCATTCAGGGAGCGCTCCTTGCTGTGGGGTGGCCCTGTGCATTGCAGGATGTTGAGCTGCCTGGCTCCGTCCTGCAGGAACCTCTGGACAAGTGTATCTTCAGCTAGAAGAAACCATGCATTTTCTAAACCCATGCCCAAAACACCCTTTGATGTCACCCGCAGCATCAGGGTGGATTTGGAAGAGAGCAAGAGGATCTGCTGAAGTCTGGATTTTCTCATGCCTTGTATGGGGTTTAGTGTGTTGAGCCCCACAAGCAGACTCAGATGAATAAATAAGGGGGAATCACTTCTCTGAGCTGCTGCTGTCTGTTCTCCTCTGAGTCCTGTGGTTGCTGTCTCTCCGCACCTGCAAGCTGGTGGCATTTGAATGATTAGAATTGGAACATTTGTCCAATAAAATCGGATGCTGTAAGGATTTGTTCTCCCTCTTACCAGCAGGCTCCAGGGTGCTGGTAGCAGGGGCAGCTGAGATCGGGACAACAGGTCTACCCCAGCCCTTCTTTTCTCTGACCTCTAAGCTGTGCCCCCTCCCTCCCCTCAGGTCTGTGTGGAAAAGTGGAACCTCCTCAACCCCTCCCGCCTCCACCTGCCAAGGCCATCAGCGGTGGCCCTCGAAGTGCAAAGGCTTAATGCCCTGGACCTGGAAAGGAAAATCGGGAAGTCTGTTTTGGGCAAGGTATTGTGACGCCCATTTCGCAGCCCTCTCTGCACGAGCCCGGGGCCCCTGGCCCACGCCTCTCCTGTGCCAATCGCTTCCTCCCGCAGGTTGGCTGGGCGGCCCTTGGGTGCGGCTTGGGCTTCGCAGACAGCCGGGCCAACACTGCAGTCTGTGTGGCAGGTCCATCTGGCCATGGTGCGCTACCACGCGGGCGGGCGCTTCTGCGACAAGGACCAGGAGTGGGACCGCGACTCGGCGCTCTTTCATCTGGAGCACGCGGCAGACCTGGGCGAGCTCGAGGCCATCGTGGGCCTGGGACTTATGTACTCACAGCTGCCCCACCACATCCTGGCTGACGTCTCTCTGAAGGTGAGGAACTGGATGGTGCAGACCCGGCAGGAAGTGGAGGGCTCCGTCCACCCAGCCATCACCTGCCTCCTGTCCTGGAGGTCACTCACTCACCTGCCTCCCTGAGGATGATACAGGCCCCAGAAACACCCTGGGCATGGGTTTGGGGTCACGTACTTCAAAGTCAAAACTGGCAGACTTGATCTCTGGCTTTGGGGAATGAGTGGGGAGTGACAGTCACTTTTCCAGGCAATAGTGACGGTATGATGGGAGAAGCAGAGGAGACTGGTGGACACAAATAAGGAAAGGCCCTAAGGGGCTTTTGAGTGGTCCCTGCAGGCCTCCTGTCATCAGCTCTGGCCATACCCCTAGTGGGCTAGAGCAGAACCTGGCACTGGGAGATGCCCATTCACTGAGTGGATTATCTAAGTTAGACCCAAAGGCCAGTGGGAGTGAGTAGGTCAGGTGAGAGACAGAAAGTTAGGTAGAGTCTAGAAGGTGGTCAGTGGGATTGGAACACAGGGATGAGACGGGTGCAGGGTTGGGGCTAAGGAGCCGTCAGGGTAGGATGTGAAGGAGCAGGATGTGGATGTGTTGGGAATTGTGTAGGGGTCTCTTCCTTCCTTCCTGGTCATGGGCACAGAAGGAAAGAATTGAATAGACCTGTTCTGGCAAGACCTGGGGAATGCCCTAGTTTCCTGGGAGAGGTCGGGAGGCTTTGGGTGGGTATGGCTGGAGCAAAGGCTCAAAATGGGTCCAAGGCAACAGCCCTCCTCAGGGCTTGACCATGGCTCTTCAGCAGGCAGATCTCAGATGAAGAGGGTGGTAAAAAACAATTTGAAGACCTTATTTATTTAATTTTTGAATAGCTAATACACTCATGAAAAAGTAATATATATATATAAGCTGGGTGTGGTGGCCCATGCCTATAATCACAGCTACTGGGGTGGCTGAGGCAGGAGAATCATAAGTTCAAGGTCAGTCTGGGCAACTTAGACCCTGTCTCAAAGTAAAAAATAAAGATGGACTCAGTGGTGCACACCTGTAATCCCAGAGACACTAGAGGTTGAGGCAGGAGGATTGTGAATTCAAAGCTAGCCACAGAAACTTAGTGAGGCCCTAAGCAACTCTGTGAGACCCTACTGGGGAATGGCTTAGTAGTTGAGTGTTCCTGGGTTCAATCCCTGGTACCCACCCCCAAAAATGAAATTGAAAACACAAAAAGGGCCGGGGATGTAGCTCAGTGGAATGAAAAAAAAGAATAATATTTGAAGGTTTACAGTGCAAAATCCCCCTCCCACTTTTCCTCCCATTCTCTCATTTTCTGAAAAACACATATAGCTGTTATTACCAATTTTTCATATATAATTGCAGAAATGTATTAATTACCTAAGAAACAGTAACGAATTACTACAACCTGAGTGCAGGACCATGCTTCCTCTGAGACTCTAGGGGAGAACCTTCCTTATCTCTTCTGGCTTCTAGAAATTGCCGGCAGTTTTTGGTGTTCCTTGGCTTGAATCATTTCAATCCCTATCTCTGCCTTCACGTGGCCTTCTACCCACATGTCTCTGTCTCTGTGTCCCTTGTGTTTTTATGGACACCAGCCATATTAGATTTAGGGTCCTCATAATCCAAGATAGTCTCCTCCTCACATAACTACCTAACATCTGTGAAGACCCTGTTTCCAAATCAGATTACTTCCTGAGGCTCTGGGTGGACATGAATTTTGGGAGGTATATTATTCCTCCCAGAAAACAGTTTTCACCTGCAAATATGGAGTACAGATTCTAACGGTCCACCTTCTTATTTTTCCTCCAAAGTTAGCATACTGTACCCACTTTCTGGACCTTGCTTTTTTCACTAGACCTTAATTTTCCACAGTGTCACACAGAAAGCTTCCTGATTCTTTGTTGACAGTGTTCCATAGAATGGATATGACACACTTTTACCTGGATGGATTCTTGGGTGGTTCCACTCTTTTGCTGCTGTGACTAGTCTTATCCACATTAAGTGGAACCTTATGAAACTTCACATTTTTTTAATAGATCATGAACTGTAGAATGTTGGTAGCTTCCTGTGGTTTAGTTGACTATAATATTTGGCATGCAGGCAAGGGATACCACAGCTGTTTTTATTTCCTATTTTATTCCCTGTTCTTCCCATCTCTGTGCTTCTTGGGGGCAGGACTGAATATATCTCATTCAATGAGTGATGTGCTGCTAAACATTCAGTAGTTGGCTTTCAGAGATGCAGAGGAAATCTGTGCATATATATATATATATATATATATATATATATATATATACATATTATACAGTTTGCTGACATAATATGCAGCATATGTTTTACAAATAGCAATAAAAGTACTCTTGTAAATTCTATATTGTCAGCTGATCCACACAGAACACGTTCATTGGTTTTTGCCAACTTTTGCACATGTCAACCTACCTGTGGTGGTAATTGGTGAAGGGGTATAGTTCTGACATGAACGTTGGTTGATATTTTCACTTACTTTAATAAGTAAAATGATAGTAAAATAATGAAGACCTGTGTTAGAACTGGAACTTCATTTGCTCCTGACCTGAGTAGATTTTTCCTACATCAGATAATAGTTTTAAGTGCTGGAAGAACTTTCTTTTAATTTCCATCGCTAGGCATGATGGAATGGTTACAGAGGTGAAACATTTTGAAGCTTAATCTGCACTATTCCTATCTTTTCTTTCCCTTTCTGAAGTTCAGATATGGAGAAAACAATTAATCAAATCCTGATTTGTAGCATGGTCTACTTTAGGGGAGGAGTGGGGTACAAACCCCTGCCATGGTCAATTTATTTGTTGTTGATGGACCTTTATTTGTATGTGGTGCTGAGAATCGAACCCTCACACATGCTAGGCAAGCACTCTACCTCTGAGCCACAAGCCCAGCCCTTTTGTTATCTTTTTTAAATATTTTATTTTTTAGTTATAGGTGGACACAATATTTTTATTTTATTTTTATGTGGTGCTGAAGATCGAACCCAGCGCCTCACGCATGCTAGGCGAGTGCTCTACCTCTGAGCCACAACTTTTTGTTATTTTTGATTGACAATGATTGTACACGTTGATGGGGTATAGTGGGGGTGTTTTGAAACGTGTATACGTTGTGTGATGATTGGTATATCTGTTATCGCATACATTTATCATTTCTTTGATGAGAACATTCAAAACCCTCTAGCTATTTTGAAACACTTTATTTTTAGCTACAGTTGCCTTGCTGTGAAAGGGAACTCCAGAACTTACTCCTCCTATCTGCTTGTAACTTTATACCCAGTGACCAACCTCTCCTCCTCCTTCCCTTCCCCTCCCCAGGCTCTAAAAATACAGAACGCTTCACAGAATTGTATGTCATCCTTTAAAAGGGACCATGCTCATCTTCCCTGTGAGGTTCCAATTTTAGTATAGGTGCTGCCCAAGTGGACACTAACAAATCCTAACCAGGGATTTGTCTCCTTCCCCAGGGGACATTTAGCAATGTGTGGAGAGTCTCTCTCTCTCTCTCTCTCTCTCTCTCTCTCTCTCTCTCTCTCTCTCTCTCTCCTCGTTTATTTATTTGCCAGAGCCAGGGGGTACTGGAGATTGAACCCAGGAATGCTCTAATACTGAGCAACATCCCCAGCCCCTTTTTTCTTTTTTAATATTTATTTTTTAGTTGTAGATGGACCCAATACCTTTATTTTATGTATTTATTTTTATGTGGTGCTGAGGATCGATCCCAGGGACTCTCACATGCTAGGGGAGCGCTCTATCACTGAGCCACAACCTCAGCTCCCCCCCCAGCCCTTTTTGTGTTTGATTTTGAAACAGGGTCTTGCTAAAGTTGCCCAGCCTGGCCTCCAATTTGTAATCCTCCTGCTTCAGACTCCTGCATTGCTGGGATTACAGGCCTGAACCTCCATGCCCTGCTATAGACTTTTTTATTTTTATTTTTTGGCACTGGGGATTGAACCCAGGGGTGCTTAACCACTGAGCCATATCCCCAGCTCTTTTTGTTTTTAATTTTAGAGACAGGGTCTCGCCAAGTTGCCGAGGGCCTTGCTAAGTTACTGAGGCTGGTTTTGAACTCTCAATCCTCCTGCCTCAGCCTCCTGAGCCACTGGGATTTGGAGACCTTTTTTTTTTTTTTTTTTAATTGTCATTGCTGCTGGCATCTGGTGGGTGGAGAGCGGGGATGCTGTTCAGCATCATACAAAGCACAGGACCGTCACCATGAAGGCTGTATGTGGTCCCAACTGTCCATGGTGCTGCAACTGAAATAATTCGTTTCAAGAACATAAATAATAGTAAAACACAGTAAAAAATAATTAGGGATTGATGGCTTTTGAGTATTTATTACCTTTGTTTTAATATGATTCATCTTGTAAGTTTATGATTTTACTTCCATGCTGGGTTTGGAATACAGGGCCTCCTGCATGCCAGGTGTGTCCTCTCCACTGAACGACACTCCCAGCCCATGATTAAGTTTTAATCATGGTTGTGCTTTTCAACAGGCTTGCCAAATTCCTGATAGTTGGGTTTTTGGTGCCAGGGATGGAACCCAGGGCCTCACACATGCTAGGCACATACACATCATTGAGCTATTCCCCAGCCCCAAATTTATGAAAGCATAAGTCTGTTCTTGTGAACCCCAGCACTTGGTACAGAAGACCCTCAGAGGGTTTGAGGCCTCAATAAAGGGATGCTGGGTGTGAGGACCAGGACTGTGGGGGATCCCGCCTCTCTGAGACACTCTGATAACTCTCCCTATTATCATAGGCCATTTGTACTGGTCCATCTAGCGACCTTGTAAAGGGGTTGAGAAGCACGTTTAACATCCTTGTCTGTAGGTATCCCAGCTATCTTTCTCCAGGGTTCTTACTCTGCAAGCTTCCCCTGGCAGGAGTGTGGCTGTATGGATCATTGTGGTAGGACAGGGCAGGCCTGCAGGAAGCGAGCCATGCTCAAGCCATGTCTTAGCAAGGGAAATGATGGCTACCTGCTTTAGGGGCCACTGTGGGCCTAGAAAGCCCCTCTCTCATTTTCTCCAAGGTCCCCCTCCTCTAAAAGGAGGCCTTTTTCTGTTGTCTTGTTAAGACATTCATTCACTCAGCAACACATGATTTTTTAGCATTTTTATTATTGATATTCATGACAATGAATGAGATAGACAAGGTCTCTGCTCTCCTGGAGCAAACTCTTCAGGTGGAAAAGGGTATAATACAGATAATAATTAACAAATAAGAATATTTCAGCTAGGTGCTGTGGTGCACACCTGTAACCCCAGCAACTTGGAAGGCTGAGGCAGAAGGATCTCGAGTTCAAAGCCAGCCTCAGCAAAGGCGAGGTGCTAAGCAACTCATGAGACCCTGTCTCTAAATAAAATACAAAATAGGGCTGGGGATGGGGCTCAGTGGTCAGGTACCCCTGGGTTCAATCCCCCGTACCAAAAAAAAGGAAGAAAAAAATATTTCCAATAGAATTATAAAATAACCTCTATTGAAGTTTATTTAGCACTTCCTGTGCTAAGCATTGTTCTAAAATGCTAGGGACAGGCAATATGAATGAGAGACTGGATAGGCCTCCTCCTGTATTAGGACATAGATGCCTGTTGCAAGGGAGGCTGGGAAATGTAGTCTTTAGTTTACCAGCCATGGGCCTAGCAAAAACATGGCAGGAATAAGAGAGTTCTGGCCACTTCTTTTTTTCCTTCCTTCCTTCCTTTCTTTCCTCTTCCTTTCTTTCCTTCCTTCTTTCTTTCCTTCCTTCTTTCTTTCCTCCTTTCTTTCTTCCTTCCTTTCTTCCTTTCTTTTCTTCTTCCTTTCTTTCCTTTCTTCTTTCTTTCCTTCTTTCTTTCTTTCTTTCCTTCCTTCTTTCTTTCGTTCCTTCCTTCTTTCCTTCCTTCCTTCCTTCCTTCCTTCTTTCCTTCTTTCTTTCCTTCCTTCCTTCCTTCCTTCTTTCTTTATTTCCTTTCCTTTCTTTCTTTCTTCTCCCTC